TAATCTGTGAAACAAATAGGGGCGGAGACAAACCACTCAAATGTTTGGAAACACTAATTGTGTGTCAGATAGCTACTGATAACACATTCTAACATTGCTTTGTCTTGAGTTTATCTTTGAAACTTATAGGCACACAGATTAAACCTGTGTTGTTGATTTTGGAAAACACTACTGAGGCTGCCTTGCTTCCCTTCAGAAAATCTACATTTTAACCAACTTACATGACATTCTATGTTATGTTGACTTTATCACATGAAAGTTTATAGTGCATTTCATGAATTAATAAATAAATGTGAAAATCGTAATTTTCAACACAAATAATAGTCTTGCTACCTTAAAAAGCACAATTTTTAAAACCACAGAAATTAATTTATTTTTTCTTTTATTTTACTAACATTTTATTTTTATCTCTTAGGTATTGTATGTTTTTTTTTAATTTTATTTCTTTGTATTTATGTTTCTTACCATACAAAAACCCTCTGAAGGTTTTTAGTAGTGTAATAAAGTTATTATTATTATTAAAAATACAGCTGTAAATTGAAACCACTGTAGTTGCGTATCGTGAGCACTAAGTGGCAACAATGTCGGGCGACAATGAATTCAGGCAATTGACACATTGAGCCATGCCGAAAGTTAGGGAATTGTCAATTTACGAAGAATTTACCAAAGGGAACATTGAAGCACAGTATACAGAAGGAGTCTCTAACAAGGAAATAGCAAGAAGACTGGGAATTTCTGAAGGCTCCGTACGTTTCAACCTACGAAAACTTCATCTACGAGGTAGTATGAGCAACCGTCGTCGATCAGGTCGACCAAGGCGTACAACGCAGCACGAAGACCGGCTACTCATCCGGTCTAGGTTAGCGAATCGGTTTCACACCGCCCGTGATTTGCGTGCCAATTTTAATCAACTCACTGGGAAAAGATTGAGTTTGAGCACTATAAAATCAAGACTATATAAGGATGGTAATCTTCGCGGCTGTGTTGCTAAAAAGAAACCAAAACTACAACCTCGACACATCGCAGCGCAGTTTCAATTTGCCAGACAACACATCGACTCCGGCGCAGTGGGCTCAAGTTATCTGGTCGGACGAATCTAAGTTTACGGTGTTTCGTAGCCGTGGAAGATTATTTGTACGCCGGAGACCAGGTGAAGAGTACGAGCTGAAATGCATTAAACCTACAATAAAATTTGGTTTTGGAAGCGTCATGGTGTGGGGATGTTTTTCGGCTACCGGCTTAGGGTCGCTAGTACCGACGACCATGAACCAATGGAAATATTTGGATATCTTACAAAACAGGATAATGCCCCCGTTCACACAGCATTGGCAGTGAGGAATTTTCTAAATAATCCACAAGAGTACGGATATCTTTTCGACAAATTTACCACTTTGAATTGACCGGCACAGGCTTCAGATTTGAACCTTTGGGAGTTGATCGATTTAGAGGTGCACTCCCGACCAGTCGCTGACATCGAGGATTATACGCGAGTATAATGGAAGCTTGGGGACAGTTCCAGGTGAACATGTGTCGGAAACTCGTCATACCATGCCAAACGGCTTAGAGAAGTCATCCAGCGAAGAGTGACACACGCATTATTGACAATCGCTGCGTTCTATTTCTT